CACTTCGCATAAAAGAGGGCAGGCCGAGGCTACAGGGACGTGCGGTTCTCGTCTGAACCCTCCCTCCCTTCCCTCTCGCGCACACATACATAGATTAATTCTACACACAGAGTATGCCCCCTTATTTGGCATTACTGTCCACCCGGACCATGGCACACCTCAGGTCTATATCATTTTGTAACAGTTGTTTGCATATGTGTATGTGTATGTTGGTTTCAGGTCGGGACATCATAGGCTACACAGGTGAGTGAACACCTTACACAAATGAACTTTGCACGATATTCTAATTATTCGAGTTTCACCTGTAAATACAACTATATAAATATATATGCAGAAAAAGTATATAAATATGTTATAAATTGTGTAAGGGGATATACAGTATTCTAAACAGCAATCCCAAAATGCAAACTGCCAGTGTGTATTAATTTCTCCCAATAAAGTGCAAATATTGCTCATAAGCACCCAGAGTTCATTTGCTTCCAATCCACAGTAGCATATACAGTGATCTCTTGGGTATGTGAATGCAACACCGATCTCCCGTGACTGTTGCCAGAAGAGAACTTTTGGAGTTCTGCTCAGACCCAAACTAGGTCTGTTTGCGCTATTCCTCCTTTCAAAATCGGGTGGAGGAAAAAACCACCAGCAATCACTTCCCAGCGACAACAAACAAAATAATTTTTTGTTGGTGTACATGTCTAGGCCATATTGTGGAGCCTGCAGTGTCCCACAGGGTGTCTGCACAACACAGGATCTACTCCTCCTGGCATTTTTTTTCCCATTCAAAGAAATTAAAATGGCATTGCTTGCTCTAAACTCCAGAAGCAAACAAAGTGCTAAGTACATCTGTAAAGCCCATAGCTGTGCTTTATAAATGTGTTGTGTTTTTTTAGTATGCCATGGTAAGCCCATACCATCACTTCATAAATATAAATATGTTTTTTTTAAATTGTATGTTTAATTGAATTGGTGTTCTGTCACATAGTTCTGTCAATTAGATGAAAGCAATGCTTAGCAGATCACTTTAAGGAGTAACTCCACAAGAACTGAATCATTGGCGTCCAGTAGTAATGCATATAAATTACAAACATCTATTTACATGGTCTCAGCCCCCTAGTCTCCTATTTCACGGCTATTGCAGCTGACTTTTGAGGTTTGACTCCTGCATCTCCCTATTTTGTGGAATTGAATCCACTGACTGCTGTAGGGATCACTCATCAATACAAGAAGATGCAGGATCAGGACAAAGGTCACAGAAGGCAGTTACTGTGGGCTACACAGCAGATTGAAGGATTGGGGGCACGGGGCTAAGTATAATTATGTAACATGCTTAATCTGCTGTATAGTTTTTCCACCTTAAATTTAAGGCTGCACTAGGTCACATGGTCTGTAAGATGTTCGACAATGCTGGAGTCTTCTAACTGCTCCTAGATTGGTATGACCAGGGTCTCCTGTTATTAGTGTATACGTTCTGTTATACAACTATTTGTAGATTTCTTATTTGGACTATTTGTATTGCCTACCCTTGTTTATATCTCTTACTTTCTAAAAAAAAATACAGGAGCTATAAATATAATAAAAAGTGTATCTAAATCCAAAAATAAAAATGTTATATATTGCTGCTTTCCAGTCCTAGATGGCCAGGGTGCACAGGTTGGATGAAGCTGGCCATAATAAAGAGAGTTGATTATTACAGCCACATTTGTTTTTCTTTTTTTACAGAGGTGGACTTGGTCTTTAATAACCATATGTCCTCATGTGTCACTTTGCCAGTCCTACTATGTGATATATGATAAAGTAATGTCATTTTGTAACTTTCATGCCCTCAGGGGAATGATCTCTGGGAAAACTGAGAAGGTGGATTCAATGTTTCTAATTGTTCCACCTAAAAGGGTCTCAGATGACAGAGAGATTGGTGTTTGGGGTATGGAACTCCATTTAGACATCTGAGTTCCTATTTCTGCTGCAAAACGCCACCAGTGGGACCAAGGCTGCCCCTTCTTCTGACACTCTAATGTCCCATAAACTGCTTCTTTGCACAAAAGTGGCTAAATTTGGAACTGTGTGTGACCCTGCTGGCACCACTCTGTTCAACAGTGAATTTTTTAATTGACTTTTGTTGGGCCAAAAATTGTCAGCCAAACAGTGACTGCAGGTAAGTCAGTTCAAGTCACCATTTGGGTATTCTTAAAGCTGCGGGTGTGGCCTGCCACAATACAAAAGCCATCAGGGAAGACTCCTCATCCATGCTGTATAGTGTATGACCAGCTTCAGACTCCTTTGTCACTGCCGTGTCCTCTAATGATAAAGGGGTGACAGGATGGAACCACACAACCCCACAGGGTACATGAGCATTCAACACTCGTGAAAGCGTTGAATTTTGCAAATGAATCTGTCTAGAGGTAGGAGGCACAGAGAGCCAGAGAGGTAAGTATAGAAGCTCTTCTCTTGCAGGGTCCTGCTGTAACAAAATTTCGGGGCAAAGACATTGTCACTTCAAATGCAATACAAAAGAAAAATCTGCAGCTGCACATATTACTCTGCACAACCCTGCTCACTAAAAACATATTGATACAAACTGATACAAAGGACAGATCTTCTGTTACCATAGCAACTACACAGACTTTGTCATATTTCTGATAGCAAATACCAGATTCCCTTATGTACCAGTAAATGTAATTTAGTTGGGAGTGATAGTCGAGGGAGTAAGTGGCATTTAGTACTTCACTGCAAAGAAGAACACAGTCGTTGCTGTCTATGGATCTACTCCTATATGGCGGTCCATAGAAACTGATTCAGGGGCCAATTTGCGCCACCTGAGGCCGGGAGGTGGGGGTGATGGCGGTGCTCCTTACCTGAAGGTGGGGGTTAGCATGGGGTTGATGTTGGGACCACCACCGGGAGGGGAGGGAGGATGGCTAGGTGCACGTTACCCCTGTCTGGCATTCCGCCCAGCTCACTGACATCACTCCTAGCCAGAAGCTGTGCAGGATGCCAGCCAAAGTGCGTCATGTATAAGTCAGCCTATTCGTGGCATTGGACTGCCCTACAAACAAGAATTACACCAAATAAGTCACTGCACCTATTTTTTTAAACACGCCACCCCAAAAGGCATGGCACTTTAGCAACCCCCTGATCCCTTAGGGCATATGGGGAACCACAGAGGCAGGGTGGACAAGCATTGATTTCAACCCTGGGATCTGGTCCTTAGCAACAGTGGGGCAATGTGAACAGATGGGCACCAGTCACTTTTAGATGCAAAAACAAGGGGTTCATTACTCAACACTCTCAGGAACGAGGGTTTAGGGCAAAGGGCACTCATGGAGTTGGCAGACTCCAGAAAAGAGAAACAAAAAGCCTGTGTCAGTATTCACAGATAGAGAACCTTCAAGCTGACCAGGCATTCTGTGAAATCACCTCCTGACTGTAAGATACCCAATGGTTCAGCTACAGACCCCCATGGGGGAGTCTCCATATGATCTGCACATCCATCATTGTAGAGAAGACCAGCAGGAGTGAAGTGTCACATCCCTGGGAAGGTGCCAATACTGAAATGCAGAACACTTCCAGGGACAACAGAAAAAAAGTGTCCCTGGCAGAATAAACTTCTCATGTACCTCATTCAGGCTGACTTTCCTCCATAGTATCTCAAACCTCTGGCTCAACACACCAGGCCTCAGTCCAAGCACATGGTCACCCTCCTTAGGCAGCAGGCCTAGGAGGATCAGACATACAATGGCATCCCTCCAGACAGGAAGCCCAGGGGAAGACTGACTTCCCAAGGTCACTCCTATATACTTATACACTCTCCCAGCCTGCACCACTACCGATAAACACAGCTGTCCACCTAAAGTTACAATAGAGGCTGCTGAGCCATGTATAAATGCCGCGTCCATGATGTTTTGCATCGTAGCCTCAGCAAATTTGAGACAGTAAGTCACGTTTCGTAGGCGGTGGCACCAAAACGCGACAAATGCAGCAAACAGGAATGCTGATTTGTTAAGATCTGCGCGTGCGCGATGACGTCATCGCGCACACGCGGCAGTATTCTGATACCTGCCGGCAGCCATCTTGGTGATGGACACCGGCAGAGAGAGGAGGGGACAGTCACCCGACAGGATAAGGTATGCTGCCGGGTCCCCTCCTCTCTCCTGATACTGTCGGGCGTTCGGTCCATGACCGAGTGCCCGACTTTTCAGAGGGGGGTGACACCAAAAGGACTGTGAGTCATTTTGGTGTCACCCCTCCAATGGTGTCACCCGGGTGCGGGCCGCACCCCCCTTGTGACACCATTGCCTCGGGGCACTATATTTTATTTTTTAAACTTTATTTCAGCTATAAGCTTACCACACTCGCTGCAATCTGATTGTAAATTCTCCTTTACATCTACTGTACCAACAAGCAGGGCCAGTCCTAAACAATTTGGTGCCCTAGGCAAGACCAGAAACTTGCACCCCCCAGCCTCCCTCCCGCGTGCACGTCCCCATTCTCCTGCCGGCTAGCTTCCGCAGCCGACAGGTGAATGTAAGTAGCTGGGAGCAATAGCCAGAATGCTATTGGCTGTTTTGAACTTGAAATAGCCAATAGCAGACTGAAATCCGCCCACTGAGCAGAGTAGAGGACCTGAGAGAGAAAGTTGTCTCTCAGTTTCACTCCTCTGCTCAGTGGGCGGGTACAATAGCCAGCCTGCTATTGGCTTTTGCAATTTGAAATAGACAGGTGGGGGCGCCATGGGGGTTGAGTGTTCGAGGCTGCGCCCTAAGCAGTAGTGTGCCCTAGGATTGATTGGATCGTTTAGGCAGGTCCTCATATTACAGAGTTTGGATAGATTTAAAGTTGATTGCACAGTGAGATTACACGTTTATTGTGAGCCTAAGGGGCCATATTTGACAAGCACAGAGAGCTTCCTCAGGTCAGGCGGTAGATGGTAAACAGCCCGGCCGGTCTGTAGGTGGCGCTGTCTGTGTACATGAACTCTCGGCGCCCGTAGCAGTGGGCGGGCAGTAGGACCGCGCCGCCGCCTCCTCCATTTCCCGGCCAGGCAGGCCGCCTCCTCCTCTCCGCCTCGGGAAAGCCGCGCCGTGTCCGTGTCCCGCGCCCCCAGCATGGAGTACGAGTGGAAGCCGGACGAGCAGGGCCTCCAGCAGATCCTGCAGCTGCTCAAAGAGTCGCAGTCTCCGGACACGTCCACCCAAAGAGCAGTGCAACAAGTATCCTTCATGTGTGCGCCGCGGCCTTTCCGCTCCCCGCCCGGCTTGTGTGTGGCGGACAGGTCGGGGCTTGGGCCTAGTTAGGGAAAAGCCGGCTGCGGTGCGGGAAGTGCGCTTTGAAGGCCAGCTCTGACAGCCGCCAGGCTCTCTCCTCCTCCGTCCGGTCACTCCGACCCCGAGGCCTGACCCTTCCCGCCACACCCGGCACGCACCCGGCTACCTTACCCGGCTATGTTCCCCGCCAAGGCCGGTCCGGAGTGGACACATCGCTTACAAACCGCTGATGGAGCTCCTGCTCTGGATTATCGGGTCATTGTAAGGCCGCAGGGCTCACAGGAGGCTGGAGGATGACTATGGCAGCGTGCTCAGTGGGGTGACCACATGTTCCTTGTCAGGGTGACCTGTTGATCATAATTTACCTGTCACAATGTGACAATGATGGCAGGAGATCTGCTTGTCCTGCCATAGCAGTGAGATGAGGGTCGTCTGATCTAATGATTCTGACAACAGCAACAATCCCTGCGGCTGACCGCTGTCAGGGGAAGAGTGATCGGATGAAGTTAAAGCTGAACTCTGGGAACACAATCTTTCCTTGTTAAATGTATTCTTCAATGGCTACAGAGGATAGAACGTCCATTCTGTCAGCACCAAACGCCTATACAAGCCCAGATATCACGATGCAAAAGTAGCAGTGACATCATCTTCCTGCACATAACCTAAGCAGAGCTGTAGGAGGGACCCAGCAGGCCCCATCTACTACAGAGGTGGGCAAACTCCGACTCTCCAGCTGTGGCGAAACTACAAATCTTGTCATGGCTGTAAGAATCTTGCAATGCTTCATGGAACTTGTAAGTCATTAACAGCTGGAGGGCCAGAGTTTGCCCACCCCTGCACTACAGGCTGTCTGCAGATACTACAGGAAGAGGGCGGATACAAGACCAGTCACCCCGCACAAGAAGAGCGAGCAGCAGTCATTGGTCTTTATTACAGGAGGGGGCGGATACAAGACCGGTCACCCTGCACAAGAGAGGACAGCAGTGATTGGTCTTTATTACAGGAGGGGGCGGATACCAGACCAATCAATGCTGCCTCTCCTTGTGCAGGGTGACTGGTCTTGTATCCACCCCCTCTTGTAGTAAAACTAGTCACCCAGCACAAGGAGGGAGAGCAGCAGTCATTGGTCTTTATTACAGGAGGGGGCAGATACAAGACCAGTCCTCCTGCACAAGGAGAGGGCAGCAGTGATTGGTTTTATTACAGGAGGGGGCGGATACTAGACCAGTCACCCTGCACAAGAGGAGAGGGCAGCAGCGATTGGTTTTATTACAGGAGGGTGCAGATACTAGACCAGTCACCCTGCACAAGAGGAGAGGGCAGCAGTGATTGGTTTTATTACAGGAGGGGGCGGAGACGAGACCAGTCATCCTGCACAAGAGGAGAGGGCAGCAGTGATTGGTTTTATTACAGGAGGGGGCGGAGACGAGACCAGTCACCCTGCACAAGGAGAAAATGCAGCAGTGATTGGTCTTTATTACAGGAAGCTCCCTTACAGAGGTGAATTGTAACACTGGATGAGTGCACAGAACACAAGAAGATTAAAGTAGGATTACACAGGCCTCTTGTATTTAACAATATTTGCTTAGCCCGGAGTTCAGCTTTAAGGTCCTTGTCTGGTCAGCTTTCCTTCTTCCCAGGAATCCGTCTGCATTTGTCTGCTTCTTATCTTAATTGACACAGATGTATGCTGGGACGATCATGGGGTACATGGTTATGTCATGACTGTGCCACCACACTCCTGTATATCCATGGCCAGTCCGCGACCTGCCTCATCCTCCCCAGTTCTGTGCTTGTGTATGGTGTTTTGGGAAGGAGGGAGAAGTTGAGGATTGAGTGTTTCTGATGCTTGGAAGTGTTTATCTGTTATGGGGATCTGTCACAGACGAGCACACCTGTGTGAGATGCCTCAGCTGTAAGCTGCCATACCACAAGTGCCTTCAGGGCAGTAAAGCTGACATGATTGCCATTGCTACACTGGAAGTAGCATGACGTCCTCGGGTGTCTCACACGGGGATTTGGCTTTGTGTTTGAATTCGCCTGAGTTTGTGTTACTCTTTAATCATTATTATTCATAATATACAGGATTTATATGGAGCCAACAGTTTGTGCCGCTTTACACAAAAAAAGAGACAGTACAATGCAGGACAGGAGGGTTAGGGGGGCCCTTGAATCTAAAAGGGAAATGCAGATGATATAAATGGTGGTAGTAGTATAAGGTTATGTAGCCTGTCACCATGTCCAGCCTAAAATGTATCCAAATGTATCAAAACGAGCTGACAGAATCTGGAGCAGCCGACCGTGGTAACCAATCAACTTCTGTCTGCTCCAGTTTAGATAAATTCCCCCCACTGTATGGAAGGTAATCAGTCATTAGTTTTCTCCTGGAAACTCTGCCAATTATACACTTCTGTCCCTGTACTCTCTTCTCCGCTGTATCTATGGCAGGGCCGGACAAATCCCTGGAGCCAGGTAGCTAATGCTCTCTAAAAGGGACAGCTGGGGCCTAACTTTTGAGCTTTTCACGAGGTTGTCAATGGAGCTGGCCCCTGTATAAAGCTGGCCATACACTATAGATTATGTGCAGACTTTCTATGGTCAGATGGAAAAAGTGCAACAGATTCCTCCATCTACGCTAAGCTGTGTGGATGGAGGAGTCTCCCACTGGGCCAAGCTTCAGCATATTGCTAGTCGGCCCCGCTGGCTCTCAAAATACCTGAACAATCTGATTGGATGCAGGCACTCCACTCCTGATCTATGGAGGGCACCATGGTTGTCACACAGGCTGGACTTCAAACATGTCTGCGTTTTGTTCATTTCCATCATGCGGTGGATTGATGGGACTCGTAGGTTACAAAAGAGAGAGAGCATTGTTTATGCTGATGTCTTGGCTTACAGGAAGTGACAAGGACACCATGTTTCTGGCAAGATTAACGAGTATGTTCTGTAGTTGCTGCAAATGTCCTTAACCTGAAAAAGGAGCTAATGCACACTTCTAAGGCTGGGTTCACACCTGGCATTTTTCAGCGCAGATCGTAGCGCTGAAAAAACACTCAGCAAGTGCAACCCCATTATTTCCTATGGGCATGGTTCCCACCTGGGCGTATTTCAGCACGCTGAAAAACGTCCTATGGCCAAACATGTACAGGAGCTTCTTCGGATCGATTTTCCGCGCTTATCCATTAGGATACCGCAAATCGTGGTAAACCCGCTCGGCCTGAAACGCGTGTCATACGCGCATATTTCTAATGCCCAGGTGGGAACCCAGCCTTATTAAGGCTGGCAAGTTGCAATACATTATGTTTTTGTTCTTGGCATTAGATGCCCTTTAAAAGAACTGGCTAATTCTCATCTTTTGTAGAGAGATTGTGTTCTTCTCCCTTTGCCTATCACTGCTTTCCCTGTTGTATATCTCCCAGCTCCTGCCATCACACTCCTCTAATAGGAAACTGTTCAGCTCTAGATGGGGATTTGTGAGAACTGATGGAGTCTTCAGAGTTTTCTAATCTCTTCTATTTCTATGCAGAAATCATTGTTGCTGAACATTTCCTGATTTTAATGCCAAATATTTGCAGATTTTACAATTCGGTGCCTGGCTAGCGGTAGATGAAGGTTTCTTAGGGCTAATATCTGTTGGTTTGCTTGAATCTTCCGGTGTTTTGGATGTCTGTGCTGTTTCAGACGCCGGTCTGCTTATCCTATCTATCAAATGCAATTTGTGGAGTTGTTTTAAAGGTTTGTAAAATGCAGCCAAAAGTTTCAGCTGAGTTTCGTTGTCCCTCATAATAGGGGGTATTTGGCAGTGGTTGTCCAAGGGTAAAAGCAACCCATGGCTGATTGATTACAGTATGGGCCTGTACCTGATCTCGTGTTGTATAACATAAATATCTGTCGGTTTATGCCGAGCTTATCTTGTGTTCTGCATAGAAGATTTGGGTCATGTCGTTTTTGTCGGTGCACTCTGCGATCTGGGTATGTTTTTTTTAGAGGTGCACCGAAATGGAAATTTTAAAACCGAAACGAAACCGAAATGTAAAAAAAATGTCAGGCCAAAACAGATACCGAAAATGTTTATTTTTTTAATTTTTTATCATTCATAATTGAGGATATAGTTAACATACCATATCCTCAATTATGTGCACACACTCAGCGATCCCTGATCTGAGTGTGTGTACCTTGCTTTTCTCTCTGACACGCTGTCACAGGAGGCTGATCGAGCGATGTAGAGAGGAAAGCCCAGCCTCCTGTGACAGCGCTGTCTCCGCCCCCACACCGCTCTGCCGGACTGTGATAGGGGGCAGAGCAGTGTGGGAGGAGACGCCGGCCGTTTACAGCGCTCTCCACCGCAGCGCTCGGCCGGCTGTCACTTTCTCTTCTCCCCGCTGGGACATAGAGCAGCGCCCAACGGGGAGAAAATAAATCACGGATGCGCCGATGTATCGGCAGGAAAATTTTCGGACGATATGTTTCGGCGGCCAATATCTCGGTGCATCCCTAGTTTTTTTACATCAGTTCAGATTTTGTGAATTCACACAAATCTAGTTCTGTGAACTAGCTCATGTGAATGGGCTAGTTCACACCAGACCTGCGTGTAACTGCGCAACTGTAATGCGTTTTACAGCGAGTGATGCATCTTTTTGTTTTTTGATGCAGCTAAAATAGGGCAAGCAGTTTTTTTCTGACTGCATTGAAATGGACTGCACTGGTATGAACAGAGCACCAGAAATCCCATAGGAAAGCATTTTGATGTGTTTTGGCTGCAGCAGTCAAACTGAACGGATTGCATTTGGTGTCAACTCGTCCCCTCAGTTTTTTTGTTTCCTAGCCTGGTTGCTAGACCGGTCTCCGCGGCCTCTACTTCCCTGGAGTCCGTTGGTCTAAGGACTTTGCGACATCACAGCCAGTGGCGGAACTACAAGTGTCGTAGCAGTCACATATGCGACCGG